ACGGGGTTGCGCAGAACATTGCCCACAGAAAAGATACTGGGTATGAAAGTTCGGATTTTCAAAGGCCAATCAACATCCAATTTGGCTGAAATTTAGATATTGTAAAGTCCATACCACTGCCTGATACCCAGGGCTGGTATATAATCTTGCATGATTGTGAAAAATGCCTGTTTTGGTGTGAAAGGGCAAGCGACGTTGACCTTAGTCAGCGCAATGTCCCAGAAAGCTTCGCGCAAGTGGGGGCCTTTCATACCTAGCTGTGATTCCACAGCTAAGCAAGTTAGGGGAGGGAAATGTCACATACCACAGTAGTTGAAACTTTCCTAATATGATATGATACCAGTATTTTATTGGGCACTGTATATCCACCCACTCCAACTCTATGAATCTATAGTGCCACATTAGTAGCACAGGTACCGGTAACAAGATTCAAGATTTAAGGCAGAGGACATACACGTTCAGGGAAGGTCGAGACTTGCTACTAGTATAATACCAGTACTCCAAATCGGCCATTGCTAGTGATTGGTTGGCTTAGGTGGTCTACCAGGGACCTAGTCTAGGCACCGCACAAGCCGTGCTCATCCCCAAGGTATCATACAAGTATTAAGCCACCAGGCAAGCTAGGATAAACTAGGGTAATCCCCGAAACCTGGGTTGTACTAGGAGGTGGAAAAAAGTCTGTCGAACTCTACTCTGATAGGCCGAGTTTATATGGAGAGGAAAGGCTACCCCAGCATACAATTGGTGGATTTCCTCGCAATTTGGTGAAGGAAAAAAGTCCATCGAACTCTTGGTGCAGTAACTTGAGCAGATAGTACTCTCTGAATAGGCGAGAAAACTGGAGCCAATAACTCGAGGTTCGACACACCACAACCCCCGGCATTATGGGTATTCAAAGTTAAAAGATAAATTTTCAGTAACGAGTAAGCACAGGAAGTAGCATTAGGTTACTTTATGGCGTTAGCCAATAGCATCCACACGTTTTGGGTAGCATATTTGAGTGCACCAAGGTAACTGAAGTTAAAGTGCAGATATTTTCACCGATCTTACCAATACCGCAAAATCAAAATAAAGAGATTTATTGCTAGAGAAAGTAGATGATTATCTTCAAAGTGTGCTCTAAAATTTTAGAATTTTCTTCTGATTTTCTTCAAAATTCCTTTTCATATTATGTATCATGTCTATGCTCTGGTAGAGTTCGGTAGATACGGACCTCTTGACCTCCGTATCTTCTCAAACAAAAGTATGGTATGGTAAAGTAAAGTAACGGTAAATCAACTGTTTCTAGGTGGGCAAAGCTTACATGAAACAGCGATGTAAGCAATGTTTTTTCAAGTTTTCCAACTTTGAATACCCCTCATTACGATACAAGTACAGTAAGGATATTCAAAGTTAAAAATAATTACAAAGCTTAGCTTACTTTACTATTGCCTTATTCTCCACCTTCTAATCTATCATCTAATAGCTTTATAATTGGGACAGATGTTCAGGAGTCTTTGTCACTCAAAGTTGGGTAATCTTGGCGCCCAAAGGTAGGTCGACTCGAGAAGTCTCCCACCCTGGGGCCGCACCAGACCGTCTACGGGTGTTCCGCCCAAAGACGATACATGTCTCAACTTTTGTCGAATCATATACATGTCTAATACTGCTCCCGTCTTGTACGGACGACTGGAAGCACTGGTCCAAAGTAGGTTGATTCAAGCAGTGTTGGCACAAAGGGGGGGGGCTAGAATGATGATCCGGGCACCTGGTTGATAAACTGCCATATCCCTTGGCGTCTAGGCATGGGTCTTGCTACGTAAGTCCCCTCTCCATAAATGTTAAGGCAAGGATCGGATCGCTGACGGGTCCAGACAAATCATTGAACGAACAGAGGAAGTGTCAGTAAATAGTCCGGAGAAGGTACAAGCGGTATGTAATGCTTGGAAAGCTTACAATAGGAGTAACGGAGCGGACGGTGCTTGATAGGGATCGGGTGGGGAGAAGCATACTTCTAAGTGATATTATGGAGTCAGGTTTTTTTTTGATACATCTTGTTCACACCAAGATAGCTAAAAACTTGCTGTTAAGGTTCAACCACGTCATAGATATTCACCCTTCCTATGTTCTTCAGTGTTTTTCGTTTGAGAGTCTCTAATTAGGCCTAGAGGAGTTACTGACTGCGGCGGAGACCGCGGTGGATTACCATAATTAGGAGAAGAAATAAATACCGAGTGAGATTTGATGGCTACGGCACATACTCCTGTACGAAATCCCTGATGAAAATAATAATTGGGGTAGAATCTGATCCTGTATTGCCGCTCATTTTTCTCAAAACATCTGGGGCCATGGCTGCCCTTAAGTACAAATAACCGTACTCACTATCTGTGTCTGTTCTGATGCTATTACATCATGTCTACCATTTTACATAACTTCCACGCTGTCCTTTCCAAAACCTTACAACGTCTACTACCGCAATCACATCACCAATACATAGTGCTCAGTTCTCACTTTCTCCATTGTCACTTGCCTGCGCACATTCTTTCCCTTTCTGGTGATTGTACCACGTTGCCACAATTCTCACTATTCCCAAACGACCAGACATGTCTCCCCTAATGAACACCTTGCCACAAACACTGTAGCCGGATCATCGGTATGCACCGGTGATTAACAATAATCCCTTTCATGGACAATTCGCTACAAGTTTGGTAACGGAAAACTAGACCAACTACACGAGGCGATGGAGTATGGAATACCTGTATAGTAGTGCAGTACATTATGGGAGGTTTCGGGCACATACTACTCGAGTATACAAACTACACTTAATTCGTAGAGCACCTTAAGCCTAGGGTAGCCTCACCCCACTCATTCCTCCTTCCATTCCCAAGATAAATTTAATACACCAACCAAGAGAGGCTCCGTAAGCCATATCACGTGATTTTATAGCGGGAAGGAATATACTTACCTCTCTGCCAAGTTTGTTCGTTTTCCTCCCGCCCGGGGGATATTACACTGAATGTAGTATAGGAGAGATCACTAGACGAACCCGCAGGCTATTCCACCGTAACACCTCCTTCTCATTCACCCACTCAATGGAAGAGACACTGATTGAGTGATTTTCTATGAAGAAATCAACCCCTTATCGCCACAACTGCCACAACACAGGAAAGCACCCGACCCAAGATCAATCAAGCGAGGGAGGTGTCTGAATCACTTGTGGCTTCTTCCACGTTAGAATTCTCAAAGAAGCCAAACCTCGAGTGACGTCCTGTGACTCCCCTGCAGATCTCAACATCCACCCTCACCCAAAACTCAGCGTCGCCAGTACGTTACAACACCTATGATACGCTATCGTATGATACATGGTCTCCAAGAGGACTCCCAATAAAAACCTTAAAAAATTAATCATCTAACCCTAATCTAACCGCCAAGGCGGCCGAGCCTCTAAGCAACCCAACCCACGATAACCCTTAACTTACGAGTAACTGCCCATCTACGAGTACTGTACAAGCTGCAACGCTAAAATTTAATGCAGTTAGCAGGCACGGCCCAGCCGTTGTTCAGAAAAGGGAAGGTTTAGGGCTACAATAGGGTTCGGGTTTGCGGTACCTTAAGCGGAAAGAACGCTAAAATCTTATCGGAGGCTGGTGGGGTATCCAACCAGCTTCGGGTAAGAGTCGAGTCTAGCGGAGTTGGTGCCCACTCAGTGTTTTTCATAAGCGCAGGTACAGTAGGGAAGGATGCGGTTAGTACAGTACAGTGCTCGAGTACGACAAGAATGGCGGTAGTTTGGGGAAATCGGGTTATCTCCTAGGAAGTATTCTGAAGGTACGGCGCCGGGGTAAAAAGAAAATCCTCGTACAACAATATACAGTAGGACGAAACGGAAAGGCACATAATACTGCACTGTACACTTGGAATTGCAGATCGAATATAGTGTAGTAATTGCAATGCGGCAAAGGGAAGCACTATGAGAATGAGCTAATTTAACGTGAATTTATCATGAAAGGTTCGTGTGTTCATTAGTTCCATAAATCCCATAACACCATCTAGTAGCATTAAAATTTATTCGGCTAGCTAATCACACCATAAAAACGCCGTTCCCCCATCCCCATGACCGGAAAAGGTGGAAAAAAACTCTAGGAAAGGAAAACATGCACACCACGACCGGAAGCCATGACTAACTTGGTGTCGTATGCATCACCCTCAAGAGCGGAATCCTGTGGAGTGATTTCCTTGTAGACTTGCATGATTCTAGTAATAAAGTAGGAAGCATGAGTTAATGCCATTTGCTCTGTTTCAATTATTAGCACTATTGCTTAGAGAGGGGGCAGAGTGGTAAACTTACGGCCTAGGCAGATTCTAGGACCACCGTTAAATGGAAGCCAACTCCACCCGATCCCACGAAGAGCCTCTTCTCCCCATCGCTCGGGGCGGAACTCGCCAGCGTCAGGTCCATAGATATCGGTACGACGGTGAAGTGAGAATGCGGAGTAGACAATGCGTTCTCCTTTGCGAATGGAAATAGGTGAGTTTCCGTCCGGCCCACCACCGTAAGGGAGAGTGGTTGCACGTAAGGCTCGGCGGGCATTAATGGGGACCGGAGGATAGAGTCTGAGAACTACCGAAACTGTTAGTGCCGGCATCTAAGGACAAACTTTCAAAAATTCACCTTCTTGAATGATCCATCTCAGATACACCATGCCCCTTAACTCGGCCTGGGTGGGCAATCTCGCATCCTCATCAACTCCAACAACCTCCGAAATTTCAGCCCGCAATTTTTTGAACACCTCCGGATACTTCGCCAAGCACAAAAAAGTCCAGGATAGGAGGGCTGCCGTGGTATCTCTTCCAGCCAACATGACACTCAAGACTTGGTCCTGAAGCACCTGTGGATCTTGGGTTCGCTCTGCGAGCTCTTCCAGAAAGACGTACTTTTTCCCCTCAGACTTCTCGGCAAGGTTGAGCTTCCTAAGCGTGCGAGAAACATAGAGAGCAGCTTGTGTACGGGCAGTCGAACATGCCTTTCTAAACTCCGCCCCGTTGTACAGCCAGTAGAAGCTCGACAACGGCGCCCTCATAGCGAGACCATATTGAGCAATGTCAAAAGCCTGGTCGAAAGTCATCTCGCCATTCCCGAGCGTGTACTTCCTGGAGGCGAGAGCCCCGATGGGGTTTCCAAAGAGAAAATTGGTGGAAGAGTCCATGGTGAGGCATTGGAATAGTTCTTGAAGCTCAACTGCCCGGGCATGGGCGAACGATTGGATGGGAAGCTCGTCTATCCTCGAGAAGAAAATTTTCATGAACTCCTCCAGCTGGCCGAGGTCAGATACGTTGGTACGATCGAAGCTAGGACGAAGCAGTGCACGGCTGTGAGACCAGCTAACTCCGTCCACGGCAAAGATACCCATACTCCCCAGGAGTGAACGATGCGCCTTGCGCTCTTGAGCCAGACCGTAGTCTGAAAAACAGTTAGTTGGACGTCACAAGAAACTCAGCAAGAATTACCGCTTGCCTTCGAACTGAGTGGCTAGAACGGCCTTGATATTCCGGGGGTCCCTCGTACGGATTGCTCTCATGCCAAAAAGCATACTAGCATAGGTATGTCCCATCTGATCATGCAGTTCCGTGAGGGCAACCGGGAGTCTAAACTCCTTTACCGATCTCATCAACATGAGCATAGAATCAATGCCAAAAGGCAGCTTGCTCTTTAGAACCGGAGGGCTCCGGCATTTTCGCCCGTTTGCCTCGGTTCGGATGGTCTGTTTGTCGTTAAACCACCATCAAACTACGAATGCAGAAACGGAAAAAAAAATCTAGAAAGTTTCCACATACTCCACGATTGATGATTGACCAAACGAGCATACAAAAAATGCCCCCGAGGAAAATTCCAGCGGCAAAGTAGTAACCATGGAAGTCAAGTTCTGGGATTGAATCGATAAACATTTTAGCAAACCGTAGATGTCTTTCCTGAAACGTAGAAAAACAAGCTCTTGTGTGACCCAATTGTAGAAATATATTTCTTCCGTTTGGTCGGGATAGGAGAGGGTTAAGTGCTAGAGGGAAGACAAGTTTGATGTGCGTTGGGCAAGGAGTGGGGGGAGGATGACAGCAAAGGCGAGCAGTGGAAATCCCGGGAATGCTCAGGTCCAAGCTCGCGTGTGATGCCACGGGCATGACCAATTTTTTGCCCCAACGCCGTACTACGCGGGATGCAGAAAAGTGGCATAGAAAAGAAACGTACCCGCAATACCACACACCCTAACCAATGGAACCTTGTGCCCAATTGTAAGCCCACATCTCACTACCACAGGGCTGAAAACTCAACACTCACCGCCAACAAATCCGAGAATCCTGTTATTGGCTCATTAAGGAACCAATTTCAGCTTCAGGGACGAGAGTCGTATCATGATACTAGCAGGGTATTATCGTTGATTGCATTATGACACCCATCCGGGGCCGACATTCCACTGCAATTATCTCCCGGTGGCCAAGATCCCAGAACAGCACATCAACTACTTCTACATTCGTTTTTGCTCCGTAAGCTTTCCCTCACCCCCTCACTGGGTACTCCATGGCCATCAAACCCAACGGCCAATGGGGAGTAATCTACCCTAAGTCTGATTTTATTAGATTTCGTTGGTATTCTATAACTCCAATCCGATGGGATGGGTGATTATCGACTTGGATGCCCCCCACTATTCTGGCGGGAAAAGAGACATATCTCTGCACAGCAATGGAAGGAATTCTAGGTGGACAAGATTGAGTAAGGCTATGGCACATACTCGCTCAGAGTGCCCGCAGTACGTCCCCCTCCCATGATCACGAGTGAACTCTACTTATCATTTCCACAACTCACAACACAAGCACTGCGGTGTACTATACACAAAGAAAAGCGTCACAGAAACACCGCATAGTGTCTTAAATACGGAACAGTATCATATCAGAACGCTGCAAAAAAAAAAAAAAAAAAAAGAGGAGGATAGACTCAGAGGTTCACCTCCGTCCAATCCCTGTCACCAGTGCAGTACCGGGGTTAAGGGTAGTGAAGCGAACCTACTCTAATTGGCTACCATCTCCATCAGCCAATCAAAAGAGTCAAACATCTCGAAGGCGCTATGGCTAGAGTAGCAGGAGGTTCGCCTCACTCTTCCCCACCAGCCCCAATTTTTGGCAGCAAAATTTGAGATCGATCTCTCACCCATGCTCACCCCCTAGGTACGGTACTATTTCCGTACAGGCGCAGGTACGGTGCTACTTGTACTCGAGTACCGGTATAATACCGTACTTGAAAGTGAGCAGAACAAGGGGCTCCCCTACCCCCCGATACTCGGCGAATAATCAGCGAATGGAAAACTCGGGAATTCCGAGAGTATTGCGGACCCTACTCTGCTACGATCAACCGCAAGCAAGCACGACTCTTTAAGCAAACGTTCGGGAATGTGCTCAGTCTCGCGTGGGGAACCATCCCACCGGATCCGCGAAAACCTTTGTCCCCGGCCTGGACTTCCAGGTATGGAATGGACTCCCGTTATATAATTATCCGGTCCCCCCCCCGTACCCCACACACCAATTGGGCGGTGACAATACCGGCACGAATACGGCGGGCAGAGGAAAAAATCTGGTCGCCTGCCACATGTCATTTGACCGATCCAGGTCTCATACCGTTACAAATCGTCAATGGGCTCCCAGACAGATCCGTGCAGGGGACTTGTGGGAATTTATCCCTTGGGCCGTGCGAGGTAGTAAAATCCGTCGAGAAACCTGTCCATTAATAATAATACCAACAAGTCGCTGACCTTCCCTGCAAAAGACGGTCGATGGTCTTCTTGCGCCAGTCAAAATGTAAATGTTCCGCTCGCAGCCAAAAAGGATACTACCGTTATAGAGAGAAAACACTCACTCTATATCACGCGAGAAAACGTAATGAAGGCATACCGGTACTAGGCGAATCGGTCGTGCTGGGCGATCCCAGCAAAAAGTCTATTCCCTTTTCCTTCGTGGTCTTAAACAAGGAACTTGGGATAGCATTCATAAGGCAAAGGGGGGGGGGGGGTTCCTGCTCTGTTAGAAAGCATCTAGGTAGCAGAAGCTCTCAATTGGGCTTGGGCTCACCATGTTTGGGGGGGATTTTTCGGAAAGGTTGTGCATCGGAGGACTGTCTAAGAGGGGCGGATGCTGTTTCGGACGCAAAGACCCGTATACAAAATATTAAATATTTTTTTCTTATTCCGTAACTTGGTTTCGCATAAAACTTCCCTCATATTTACTATCTGCCATAAATTCCAGTTCGAGTACCGGTAGTCCCTGAGCAGTTGTCATTGCATAAGCATCAGAGTGAATTTGCAGTGGTGGTTGGGTCGCCATTAAAGCGACCGACGAAAACTCTTGGATTGGCAAAAGCCGTTGGGATAAGAAGATATCCAGATAATCACCTTTTGACCCACGATAAAATTTAATGAAATTTAAAAACCAGCCATACAGCTACTTCAAATCTCCCTTTAACTTTTCTCCTTCACCATTATCGGGTCTTTCCCTTTTCATTTCCTTTCGGTTCCATAAATAGTTTTCGAGCTTGCGATCGGTAGCAGAAGTTTCTTATTATAGCTGGAAGTTAAACACTGCGACTCGGGTGACGCGGGGAAGGCATTAATGGTACGATACTCTGCAGAGAGTGCCCTGAAACTCCTGGTATAGTCTATTGAATACGGTGGGTAGGTTCTCTCAAAACTCGTTGCCAGGAACGCGCCAACCCGAAGAAGTTATACTAGTATCGTATCAAGGGGTGTTTGCTGGCATTTGAGTTGTGTGATATGATACCATATGATAAAATCTCAAATGATTGAACCGAGTGCTATGCTACGTACTAAACCCACTCGGAATATAGAAGCCGTTGCACAGGGGAAGGAGAGTTCGGGTGATCCCAACCGTCTCCGAAAGTGATATATTCTTGAGGCAACCTCCTTTAGCAAATGTCTCTCCGTAGAGTTGTCGACGGGACGATACTTGTATATGTAGTCCAAAATCCCCTGACCTGCAAAATAGGGTAACACAATAACTTAGGATGAGCCGCCCAGCGCCCCCCCCCCCGAGAGACAGTCATGAGGTAAAAATATATATATAAAAATACCCGACCTTACCAGAGGAAGCAACTCGAACAACACGCATCCAATCGTTTGAGATTCTGCGGTATTAGCGAGCTTCCTCAGCGAAACCACAAAACTCACATTCGTTCAGGACCTTTCTTGAAATGCCTTGCGGCGAATTTTACCGTCTGGCGCACCGCCCCAAGGGATAGCTTGTCCAACTGCGTCGCAATTAGCAACACGCTGACAGCACTAGCACGAGCTGAAGTTGAACACTTTCTACGGGAATTGCGATCTTTGCTGTCCAACTCCAACTCAGCCGCAGACGTACTGTACGAGGAGAACTGGCCCCCTCCCAACTCGCCGCAGAAGCCCAATCCCAGAAGTCAACAGGAATACTCTTGGTATCATAAGTATAAGTATAATAGGAGGGATAATATACTCGTATCTGAGTATGCCGGAGAAATAAAAAATAAAAATCACCCGCAAGCCACGGTTCGCTAACTCGATGAATCCTCACATCCGCTCTCCCCATCGGACTCCTATCAAAAACGGGTTACCACCCCTCAAGAAAATGCACTTCGGAGAGAAAAAAATACACCCCGCCCGCAGCACTGTGCTACACCCCACCGTTCACGACAGTACTGTACTAGTACATACGTAATGTGTACAGTACATTACCGCGAATCCCTCAAAGGCAGCGAAAGGGAGCCAAAAAGCTCCACGATAATTTTTTTTCCTTTTTTTTCCCGGAGTTTGATCATGCAATAGCGTTCGCCGGGGGCCATACTGAGAGTTTCGTTCTGTGGGTTCTGATATACCGCAAATTCTCGAGTTTGGCCGCTCGCGCACTACCAGTACAGATAGATAGGATAGATAGAGAGCTCTGGGGGGAAAGGGGGGGGGAGGATTCACAAGCTTTTCCCTAGTGAACTTTTCCTCAACCTTTAGGAAGTCTGCGATGGATGGATAGAAACAAATAAATAAAAAGGTTTATCACTGCCACGTATGATCTCCGAAGTACCGACCCGGGGAATAAGAAAGGCCCACCTCTGATAATATATTTGATTGAACTCACCTCGGAAACTGTACCGCACCACACGCTACCGTAGTGAGCGGTGCTGTACACCTATGATATAATATCATACATTACAAGTACTGCACAGCAACACCCCTGGCCATGCGTGAAACGGACATAAGATCTAGAACAGTCCCTGTTACCGAACAACCTTATACACATACCTGTACCCGATACCACCACTGCCTAGCCAAGATAATGCACGGTAAGCACTGTATCGATAACCACCTCCGGTAGGTAGGCGATACGCAGCAACAGCTTCGGATCAGGAAGCATCCCCGGCGCCTAGTCTGT